AGAGATCATAAAATTTGTGCCCTGTACTCTTTTTCCCTTTTGTCCGGTTTTTGTCCCACTAGGTTTTTCCGGCTTAAGGTTTTTAATGAGGCAGTATCATTCAATGCACATTCATGAATACAATGAATATTCAAGGGGGAGTGTTATGAAATACATGAATGAATGTTCATTATATTCAATGTACCTATTATGGCACATTCGTAATCTACATTATACGTATGAATGCCCATCTCCCTATTCAATGTATATATTCAATACATTGACATTAATGATATGTGCATCCTTGTTTCCTTATAAATAGAAGCTTATTTTTTGTCATTGGGTAAGAAATCAGATCAGAAGAAGAGAATGAAAGAGGAAAATATACAGTGAAAATAAAATTTCTCCTCTGACTTTCTCTACCATATTTGGTGTTTATCTACTTTCTCTACTTAATCTCTCTCTATTCTCTCTATTATATTCTTGCAGCGCAATATTTTACAACAAATAACATTTTTTTAGAAATTATTGCTTGCAAAAACAAATTAATAAAAAATATTTTTTGCCGTCTATGAAAGTATTTAGATATAAATTGCTGTCGACGATAAAAATATTTTTCATTAATTAAATGATATAGGTAATCATCTTTGAAAAATTATTTTTCAAATCATTCATTTTTTCGCGAAACAAACGGAACCTTAGCATCATAATCGCTCGATCTCACCTTTCACCTAACCACGAACTTAAACTTCCAACGATTCACAGTTGGAGGTAGGGATATTAAAGCTTGTGTTGGTACGGATCTTGCTAACAAGTGCGGAGAAACCGATTACTTCAAATTGGAACACATACGCGTTTGTTAACAACATCATATATAACCCTAAAACACATATCTAGTATAATTAACAAGAAATATTCGATTTTCAAATATTCATTATATATATTATGAGAAAAGTCATGTGGCCAGTGTATCGAAACGTCTCGTTGTTTGCTCATTTGACGATAGGAGAAATTGTCCGATCAAAGTCCTAAACCTATTATACGGATACCAATTCGATCATAAACTTTTAAATTTTCCCAATCAAGTCCTAAACCTTTGCTCGAAATTCCAATGCGTTCCTTCCGACCAATTTTCGCCCGAAAATCACTGATGTGGTGGTGAGTGGATTGCCATGTCAATGATTTCTGACGAAAATTAACCGAAATGGCTATATTGAAATTTCGAACAAAAGTTCATGACTCAATTGACAAAATTAAAAAAAATTCAAGAGCGAATAAGGTGTTTGTTCGGTCGGCTTATGACTCATCGGACGATTTTCCCGCGCTCTTTGTACTGTTTTTTTTTTTTTTGGCTAAGAGAGTAATGATAAATGCAATGCTTTCGAATTCTCATGTAAACGAGGCCATATGGGGTCACCCCACTCGTGGGTATTCAATGAAAATTAACAGTTCCTATGCAAGAAACCAACAGAGATGTACGCACACACTGATCTAAATCGAAACATGCAAGCTCCAAATATAATCAAATCATGAAAGACCCACCAAAAGAAAACAGACAAAATCATATAAATTGGCCATCACATGCTGCATCATCTAGATCGATCCCCCCCCTCCTCCTTTGTTTTTTCTTCGACCTTTTACTCGATTGGAATTTCACCCACCACCCCCCAATTTTGACTTCTTCTCCTCTTTTTATTTTGGGTGGGGGTGAAGTTTTGGCACCACCACCACACGTTGAGTTTCAAACTTTCAAGACAGTTTGCACGCACTCGTCCACCTTTGACTGTGCTTATGACCATGATCTCGTGTCCAGCCCTTCAAGATTTTACTTGAGCTGATAAGATGCTTTCACAATGTTTGTATGCTAACCGAATAAGACTTGGTAATCTGAAACCGGTGAATAACTTGATTGGTATATAACTCGAATTGGTAATTTCCTATGAGAGTTGGTAATTCTCAAATAAGCAGATAAAAGTCGGTAACTTATCGCCAATACATTGAATAAGCAACTTACCGCTCGTATCATTTTCTTCTTCTTCTTTTTTACCATTGCCTAGGCCAAGGCCCTGTTCTGCTTACTACAATTAGTGTAGCACCTTATTCTTCTAGGGCTGACTTCAAAGAGTACCACTGATAATTATTTGAGTATAATCTCGATATCTTATTACAATCGTGTTCGTGGTTCCTCTCGCTACGGAGCCTCTATGATATTGGTTTTCCCATGTCGGGTAATGCCGGGTAACAGGTCCTTGAATATGCTCAGGTTCCTGTGGTCGACGAAACTTACTCGAAACTTACCGATTTCTGTAGAGGTTTACTGGCAAGAAATATTTCTCCATGTATTTGATGTATGATGAATCAAAATCGATAGTCCTTAACGAGGAGCATACATGCGTTATTGACAAAACTCAATGGATGTGATCTTCAGTAAATTGTACGTCAAGTGGGAGAGCACGAGCAATACTTCGAAGATCTGGAACTCATTGCGCATGGCCAGGACAGTTGTCCATCATCTTATTTCATCATTTCATCGCTTTGGAAGAAATAGGAGGGTGGGCCAAGATTGCCACTGCCATATGCAGAAACTCCCCTTTAATGCAGCCATCATCATTACCCTACACCTGATTAAAAAAGAGAAATCGTGGGTCATAAACGTTGAATTTCACATGAATAACGACATTTCAGGGGTAAAACAAAAACAAAAAAGTAAAAGGAAGCAAATGAGGGAATGCTAGGGACCTTGAATAGGGCAAAGTACTCGGGTTATTTTATTTATGTTAGATTATATTAAGATTATTATTTAAGGTGAAGTTAATTGCAATTTGAATTAATTGTACTTACCCTATATATAGGGATCTTATACTTTTCATTCGAAATATACAGAATAATACAATCTCCCTTTTTCGTCTCAATTCTTAACTTGGTATTAGAGTTATTATTCTTGCTTAGGTGTGCCCATCGAATTTATATCGTAAGCACGCCAGCCGCCTTGACCAAGTCGCTCCCGTTTCTTCGTCAAGTCCAAAGTCTTTAGCTACTCCTTTTCGAAAAACAGACACCAACATTGAGGGACAAAAAAGAAAAAAAGAAAAAGGAAGCAAATAAGGGAATGTTAGGGACCTTGAATAGGGCAAAGTACTCACAGGTAATTTCATTTTCTCTTGCTTTATATTAGTAGTGGAGCAAATTGAGTCTCTATTTCGATCTCCTAAACGTTTGGATTGTGGGGGAATTCTTATTCAAACGTGAAATAGTGAGGACTAGACATTACTAAGGTCAAATGTCCTCGTGTCCCTACTTCTATGATTTTTTAAAATGGGGTTTGATTCGCAATTTCTTACTTACCTTTTAGGTAAATGGGCTGTTTCGCAACTTATTCGTTTACTTTTGCATATTTCAAGAATTGGAAAGGGGCGATTGCCATCGTTCTAAAGCAAATAAGACATGCGTGGCATTTTGCAAGACATCCGTCGTGTTAAATCTTTGGTTAAAGCAAAGTGGATTTTGGCGATCCCGATAAAAAAGTACCGATGGAATTGGAATTCGATATCCGAAAAGTGGGCAGTGCATGTTGAAGTTGAAATTGAATGGAAACCGATCAAGAAAGCGTTTGAGGGAGGCCCCATGAAAGTTTGAAACAAGAAGAAGCTTTGATTGAATGAAGGGGAAGGATGGCCTTTGTTGTGGGGGCTTGTGCAGTTCGAATGCAATTATTGCCTCGAGTCTTATTATGAGTCTCAAGTGGGAATCAAAAGGAGACCCCTTTATCATTCTATTTTTCTTGTAAATCACTAACTTTTTCTCCTTCTATGATCTTATCCCCCCCCATTAGCTTTTACAAGGTAGCAACATCGTGTGGAAAGAATGGAGTTTGAACATCCCATTAGAGAAAAAGAAATGTAATTTATTGCAAAAGAAGGTTCCTGCATCTTCTGTGTGTCCTTGTAGTGCTCCTCTTCCCTTCAATTATTATCACCTAATCCCTTTTGCTAACTAAGCTTTTTAGAAACCCTAGACTTGAAAAAAGTGATAGGAGTGCAAAGCAGAGTCAAATTAAAGTGAAATCATTCATTGAGAGTGCGGCTAGATGGGGGACTGGCAACCCCACCCCCACTGCAGTCTAGTTGCAATTTGCCCTATCATTTAACATATCAATTTCATGTACGAGCAAAAATTTTCTCCTATCTCTAGTCCGAGAGGAAATCCTTTCGATCAGGCATCTGATTAATAAAATACAAGTTACGAATATCATCTACATGCAAACTTCACTAACATTAAAACGTTGGTAACACTCATAGTTATAACTCACCAATCAGAAAAGTGATTAGAGAAAAATCAAGCGCGGAAAAAAGTACAACCTATCAATCTCAATACTCTTGCATTGTGCTTTGCCGAATCATGTTGGACACAAAATAGGTGCTTAATAAGAAAGATACATAAGCCAAGGTGTTGTCAAAATGAAGACCTACATAAATAACTCGGTGTAGAATGAAGTAGTTAATATATATCTAATTGGTGCGTGGCTCATTGATTATTTAAGCTTTTAGCAAACGTTGAATCTAACCACTTTTATGCATGATGGGTTCTAGGATTTCTGGGCCTTGATGAATTGGGATTTCAGGGCCTATTCATCAGTCCAGATGCCCTGCACATCAATGCAAGAGTCCAAAGGTTGTCCATGTCCACATGAACTTTTGCCAAAGCAATTTAGGGTAATTGGGATTTCGGGACCTATTCATCAGTCCAGATGCCCTACACATCAATGCAAGAGTCCAAAGGTTCTCCATGTCCATATGAACTTTTGCCAAGCAATTTAGGGTTTAATTTCATTTGTCGTCACAAGCGCTTGTATAACAAGGAACAGAACTTGAATTGCTACCACCCAACTCGTTCCAATTCAGCTAGGATACAATGATCCTTAATGAATACAATGAGATTCATAAGCCTGATTATCCAGCACATAGATTGCTGATGGAAAACTTACATTATATAGAAAGAAATATGCATTAACGGGTGCCTCCGGTACTTGTTTAAGCGGCTAATTAAGGAGAGATTACAATTTTCCTATGCATTAAACTTTCGAAAAAAAAAAGAAAAGTTTCGAAACAGACGTTAGCCAAATTCAGGAAATGCAGGAATGAATTCTTCCCCAGTGGCTTCCACAACCATAACAAAATTGATGTCCACACCTGTAAAAAGCATGTGAAGCAAACACATTTGCCAATTAAATGGATGCCCTTGTTTTCCCTCATGAGCAACAGGTTAAGCAGCTTGATTAGATGCATCTTAACTTGTTTAGAGTCCAACATCACACATTAATTATTCAATCAGATCCACTTGTAGAATGTGATCGCACGGGTTCTGATATGCGTAACCACGACGAGTTGAATCCCTGTGATCCTACTCAAAGGCGTTCATTATCCTAATTAACTCATACGTATTCTTTCTTAATGCATGCCGAAAAAAGCTCTTTAATTTTAAGTACCAAAGATCTACTGAAGTTTATGAGAATTGAAAGACGAAAACAAACCTGCAAGAGATGTGCAGACAGCCATCAACCTTTTCCACATAGAACTTGCAGTTGGGACATTTCCTCCATCTTTGGCTCTCGGCAAGTTCCGTCATCATCTTGTCCAAATCTCTCTCTCTCACTCCTCTCTTCGTCATCTGGAACTCCTCACACTCCAATCCCTCATGCCACGAGACCTTGCACCGCGCGCAGAACAATCTCCGGCAAATCGGACACTCTGACCGTGTCACGACTTCGCCTCCATCGTCCACCAACATTGCCGAACAATCCTTAAAAGGGCAATAGAACTTCTGAGACCCGAGAATCAGCGACTCGCACAGCACATTTTCCCATCTATCAAGCACTTCCCGTGGAAGTATCGAGCGGCAAGCATGAGGTTCGAGGACGCTCTTGCATTTCAAGTCGGGACAGGTGACGGTCGGCTCGTTCTCCTTAATCTTCGACGCTACATACTGCCCCATGCATTCCATGCAGAACGAGTGAGTGCAACACAAGCCTTTGAACATCTCCTTCAGAGATTTCTCGTCCATACAAATACGGCAAAAAACCCGAGAACATTCGCCGGCTTCTGAATTTCCAGAGCTAGCGATTCCCGCGATAGGAAATTGGATAGTCGCATTGCTCTGCGATGAAACAATCAATGAGCTCATGAGTACTTCTTGGAGCTGCAATTCCAGTGCATACTTTTCGTCCGATATCAGAAATATCTCTTCCTCATCATATAGAGCAGAGAAGTAGAAATCATCGATGTGGAGACGATGCATCTCCTCCATCAGATAACAATTGACTCTTGATTTCATCTGAATGATCAATTGGTTGTTATTTATAGCTCACCCATCCCTGGAATTTGAAGGGTCTAGAAATTTAATTTTTCTTTTTCCAACTATTTTTGCAAGTTCATCCGATAGATCCAAATTCATTGACTTGTATGGATCCAATGTAATTTAAGTTCAAACACAACAAAATCTCAAACGGCAGCTTCATGGGTCTCCTCGACTTCGCTCCTTCCCTTTCTCTACTCTCTAGGTCAAGCTTACACATAAAAGAAATCTCATCATATTTGCTTTGCCAAAACACAAGGAAAAATTTGTCAATGATATATGAGGTCAGGCAAACAATTACAAATTTTTTCACTCGAGTACATCGACTCCGAGCATGGCCCCTGCTAATAAAAAAATTGGGGCACTCCGGATATATAAATACATCTAGAAAAATTAAAAAGAAAGCATAACGAAAATATGTACTAGTCCTATATCTGAGAGAGAAGAAAACATGTTGTTACATGCTGATCTTCAGGGTGTAACAGAAAAAAGTTGACAAGTGGTAGTAAGTCATGATTAGTAAGCCTTGGCGATTTCATTACTGCTTCTGTGTGGTTTCTTCTTCATACTTGTGATGCTGCACTGTGGGCATACATATTCCAGTCCATCGGTTTTGGCATAGTCCTGCAAATTCGCACAAGAAAAGAGTATTTCAATCATGGATTGACTGCAACATGCGAGCCTTATAACATGATTACAAAGGCGAGGCCACGAGCCAAGTGTGAAGGGAATAACAGGATTTTAGGAAAAAAGGACCGGTTTTGCAACTGAAAAGGGATTGACATCATATGCCTACAGTACCTTAAAAGCACCGAGACCTTGCCTTCTATCGCAGCCAAAGTGGGCCCACTCACCGCACGTGCCACAGTTGACCCAGTCCCCAGCTGCGCCACTGTTGTCATGAAGCCCAGACGGTTGTGAGCACGAATATCTTAAAAAATATGGGTGATTGAGCATAATAGTACAAGAGAGATAGAGAAAGTAATACCTGTGACACAGTAAGCAACACTCTCCATCAACATCGTCATGGGCCAACTCGTACTCAAGGAGGTATGTCTCATAGTGTCTCTTGAGTGTGTTTCCAACCCCCTGTGAGAATAAGATGTCAGATTGTTGATTGCTAATAGTGACATGTGGGATGACGATGAAACCAATTAGATCACTGTGCCTCGTTTTTTACATGTCAGGCAAGTCTCGCTACGTCATGTCAAAATAGAAAGAAGGTTACACACGGGCTGCTATGAGATTTTTAAGAGATGAACTAACAGGTAAACTAAAAGAAAATTGATTGTACATGGTTGCTCCAGAACTCAAACCACGAAATTCATTCATCAGGAATTAAAACATCATTTTGTACCATGAACAGGCATAAATGTGCAAAATCCACAAATTTAAGAGGCAATAGCACATACAGTCATCCTATGAGTCATTGTATAGTTGCTCATCTTTGAGAAGACTTGTCCTTTCCAGTTAATGCCATTGCCAACATGAAAGCCTCCCCTCGAAACCACCTAATAATATACCAAATGCAATCAAAAGTGCACACAATGTTTAAATTGGAACCACTTTTACAGTGAACTTCCAGAAAATGGGAATGAGTGCCAATTTATAATGACGATCACCTCTTTATACAAGTTATAGAGGTCAAGACGCTTTGCATTGAGCACAGCTTCTGGGAACTCAGCAAGACCACCTGGAGGAATAAGTCGAGCATGTCCTCGAACAGTCAAAAAGTGCATTACATCCTTGAGGAATTCCTCCTAAAAAAGGAAAAATGAAAGGTTTACAATTGAACTAATCTGTGAAGAATCCATCTGATAAACGTAATGAATATCCTAGAAGTACACTACAGAGCAACACATGTCAGATTCAATGTCATGTGCGCGAATTGATAATGGTTATAAAACACAAACGATCCTCAATGTCAATCAATCATCATACATTTCAGGGTTTACCGACTATTTTCCACATAGTACGCAACTGACATGAACTTCTCTTTCGTCTTTTGCTAATTTTTCAGCAAATAACATGTGCATTCTGTCTAGGAGGGACTAGCAAACAAAGGCAAATGCTCATTTGTCATCTTAGTTCTTGATTTGAATGCATGGCAGACTGGGAGATGGGGTTGTAACATACGGTTTAGAAATGAATAAGGACAAAAGGTCAGAATGAAAATCTTGGATCATGGTTCAATGGGGGTATCCCGGTAGCATCTTTTTTAAAATAAACTCTGTAAGCAGTAAAATTCCTGACACTGAAGATTGAGCAAGTACAACAAGGCCAAAACCCTTAGGCTGAATATGACTCACCTCAGAGCAAACTTGGATAGAGCTTCTGCCACAACCGTGTTTTTTTAGAGGCAATGGATTCAAGGAGATAATTTGCCTAGCCTGAAAAGTTCTTGAAGACGACTTCCTATAAGCTGAAGATGGTCGGACAACCCTCTGCTTTGCAAGGAGGAAGACAGAATTTTCTTGAACTTTCCCATTGTCATTACCGTCTCTTTGAGAAGTTTCACATATAAACTGCATTTTCCGCTGATAAATATGAGGGACAGGCCTCAAAGCTGCAATTTTCATTCTTCCTTGAGCTGGATGCCCACTCGAGTAATTATCTTTAGTCTCTCTATTCTCTCCATCTTTGTCCAAGTAAGCACCTATGTACGCAACTGTTTGCCCAGGATGAGAGTCCGGACTTGCATCTTGGCATAATTCAGTCCTCTTTCTACTAGGAGCAGGAGGTCTTAACCAAACAGGAGTAGCGCTAACAAAGCTGTCACTCGAGAAAACTTCCTTACAATCCTCTGAATTGGAGAGAGATAGACGTTCAGCATCATCTTTGTCAAAAGAAGCAACTGCCAATCCTTGAATGCTGGCAATCCCAAGAGCAACCAAACAATGATGCGAACCATCCAATGCCAACTGCCTTAGGACCTGGAAATGCAACAACAATCATGTGTGTGTGATTAACAGATCCTTTGTGAATGGATAATGGCCAAAATAAAGCTAAAACAAATTAGGCAGTCATCTTATGAGGACAAAACAAGTATATTATCCTTCTCTAGAATCAGCAACACGTGAAAAACCATATTATTCTGACGTGTAACCTGCACAGGATAATATAACTCATTCCACAGAATATAAATGCAAAGTGAGACCTGAGAAGCCCAAGAAGGGACATCCATCGAAACTTCATATACTGGAGCCCCACAAGCTACTGAAGCAGATAACCGAGGTTCAGATGATGGCAGTTTGTTGTCCTCGGTATTAAGCAGTGTGTGAACAAGTTGACTCCCTATGATTTCCTTTTTAATGTGATTTTCCAATAGCTGGAGAAGGAGATGCCACAGAAGAGTCAGAATGGCAGCAGTCAAAATGTCAAAATAAACCAAATCATAGTATCGATCTGTACCTGATCGTTGAAGCAAGTCTGAGTATTACCCGACAGCAACAGGGAGAAGTGCGCATAACTAGATGTGGATAGATCGCAGCGCATGGTCACAACATCGCGAGAGAATGTCTCTGTGTCAAAGAGTGGCTGAGGCGCACTGCATCATCCTTAATATATCAATAATGGACGGAATTAACTTCAGCTATACAAAGTAACACGTCAAAAAGACTTGGATAAAAGTGGTATGAAATATACAGAAATTTATATCTTAAAAGAGTGGTATGTGATTTGCAAAGTCAGAATTGCATTCCTCATTGGGCTCAAAACATAGGTTAACATGAGCTGAATCCAAAGAAGCTTGTTCTATAACGAAAGCAATCTTCCACTATCCATGATCCTTCTCAGACAGGCCACAAATTATTCCACTTATATTATGTGTGATAATAGAGACAAACATGTATTCTCTCTTTTAGACTACCTTACTTGTGTCTGTATAAGACACAAATCCATTCCATTTCAAAAATAGATTACTACTTCTTAGCTTTTCATTACTAGTAATCACTCAAAAAAGGGAACATACCTAAATTTTCCAAGGAGCTTGCTTCCTCGCATCTGAAACCACATAAAAAAGGAAGAGAAACGGAAATTATAAATTAGAACTTTCACAAGTGATAAATGTCAGTCTAATTGGAACACAAATACTAAAACAAATTTTACTAAAGTTGAAACTGTTAGTGATTGCTCAGTTCTTCAGTGACAAAAGAGATTTTCAAAATAGAGATAATCCTGTGTCTCCTCAAATGCTTGCAATGCATGTTTGATGTCCTTACAGATATTAAAATGTGTATAACTTGGAATGGCTTCATCAAGGAGACAACAGCAACGATGAGATCCTAAATGAATAAATGAAGTCGATCCAAGTAAATATTGTCAAACTTACTTCAATAGTCAAGAGGGCATTGAGACCATGCTCCAAAAATCCCAACAATTCTGCATCCTGCGAAGAATCCGGCTTTAGATTAGCAAGATATTAAGTACCACAGAACGGTAGTGCCAAATGTTGTAACCCCGCTTTGTTGCACGAGTTAATGTTTATAGAAGCATAAGTAAGGATTGGCTTCCAGCTTACCACACTAGATCGAACACCACAAATAAGAAACCTCAAGCTCACATCTTCGTCATGTATTTTAACTGCAGGAAGAAAGCTCAAATCATCTCTTTCCTCCGCAATATCTTCCTCAGGGTAAGAGACATCAATTTCAGGAGGGATCCCAAGAAGATCCAGTCCTAGGTCACTGCTGGCTTGGGTCATATCATCAGAAGAGACACTCCTCCTTTGTAGACAGCAAAAACTAGTTGAAGCATGGGCAAGCTGAAAAGAATCCCATGCATGAGCCCTTGAACTGCAACACATGGAAAAACAAGCATGTAAAGGTAAGTGATATGCTGGTATGTGTGTCTTGCTGTTGTCATGTTCTCTTTTTCACCTAGTTGGTTCTCTATTAGCACTCTTTTTCCCTTTGATGCATGTTTGACAGGCAAAATTGACTCCACTTTGCTCCGTAGCCACTCATCTAATGTGATGTTAATTGGCAAGTCAAAAGATGTTTCCAGATAACCCAAGAGATACATGATACAACTTCAATATATCTCCAAGAGTTGACGAGAGAGCAACCTTATCACGATTGACTATATC